TATTTATAACATAATTGTAAATAAATTAATGATATCTTTTTTTGTCGATAAAGACTGTCTATTTGCACAAAAAAACTAGATCCCTTACAGTAGTAGCCATGAATATACTACATGGGCTGAAAAGTCCCGAGATTTTTTAATAGGTGGTGCTAGAAAATGAACATGATTCATTTCGAGAGGTTCATCTTTCATTAGTTTATGTATGAAGTTTCATGACATTTCGTTCATTCGTTTACAAGCTACAGTCGTTTAAGTGGCGTTACTTTCGCCTTCATAAAAAAAATGGAAAAACAGGAATATCTCATCTTGATCAAACATTGTTTTTTGAGGGGAAAAACTTCTGAACAATCATTGAAATGGTTGCAGAAATGTTGCACATCTGCTCCTTCGAGAACAACAGTTTATCGGTGGTTTAGTGAATTTAAAATGGGTCGTACAAGCACCGAAGACGCATCTCGCTCTAGAAGGCCAAAAGAGGCTACGAATGCGGAAATCGCAAAGCAAGTGCATCGAATCGTTTTGAGTGATCGTAAAGTGAAATTGCGCGAGTTAACTGAGGCCGTGGGCATCTCAAAAGAACGGGCGGGATACATTTTGCACGATGTTTTGGAGATGAAAAAGCTATTGGCACAATGGGTACCGCGTTTGCTGACCATCGACCAAAAACAGCAGCGCGTTGATGATTCAACGGCCGGTTTGGCGTTGTTGCAACATAATCGAGCGGACTTTTTTCGACGTTTTGTGACGATGAATGAAACGTGGGTCCATTACCATACACCTGAGTCCAATAGGCAGTCTGCAGAGTGGCTGAAAAGCCACGAAAGCCGACCAAAGCGGCCAAAAGACCAACGCTCGGCCGAGAAGGTTATGGCCTCCGTTTTTTGGGATGCGCATGGCATAATCTTCATCGATTACCTGCAGAAGGGAAGAACAGTTACGAGAGAGTATTATGCAGCGTTATTGGATGATTCACATCGAATGAGGAAGTCATCGCGGAAACCGAGGCGTATTTCGAAGGCTTGGACGTTTCGTACTACAGAAAGGGCATCCAAATGTTGGAAAATCACTATACCAAGTGTATCGCCCTCGAAGGCAACTATGTTGAGGAATAAATATAACTTTGCCCAAAAAACGCTTGTTTTCATTAAAAATCCCGGGACTTTTCAGCCCATGTAGTACGCATGCTTGTGACATTTATTTTATTTTTTTTCATATGTAATAAATTCTTGTCAATTTTATATTTTTTCAAGAATGTTTGTAACTTTATATTGCCACAATATTATTACAATTTAATTGCATATATATTTTTCGACATTTTTCAGTATAAAATTACTCCTACATTCATCAACAATTCTATAATGAAAATATAAAATAAAAGTAAAAAAATAAGATTTTGCACGTTACACGTGTCAGAAGTCTATTCAAAAATGAACTGCTTGGCACTTTTAAAATAATATGAATATAAGAATATAGGTATATAGATGGATACATTGTATGAGGTCGAACACATAAAAAAAGAGTATTATATGCCTTGCATCAAAGATATTGAAAATAGTAATTTTAAAATATACAGAAAGAAAAGGATTACGAGTCTAAAACAATTATCATAAAATAAAAGAATTTTTTAACAGTTAATAAATAAAACATGTCATCAAGTTAAAATATAAACTTTAATTTGACCGATAACAAGTAAAACAAAACAAATGTTTCGATCCCTGTTGGATCATTTTCAATGTGAATAAAAATAACAATGGAAATATTACATAAATAATATATATAAAAATTAAAATTACTCTCGATCGCAATATCAAATATAAATCTCGCTTCAATATAAAATGAAAGTTATAAGGAAGTTGTAATCGACAACAAGGTATTCCTCTGGCTTGTGTATGTAGATTAAGGACGAATATGTTTCTTAAAAAGTAAAATTGCCACAGGAATAAGAAATCAAAAATAATAAAAAAAGTACAGAATGAGTCGCAAATAATAAAAATAAAAATAAAAAAGCAAAAAATCTAATATTATGAGAAATGTACATAAGAGTTATTAAAGCGGATAGAGAATATGTGATGTACCGTCATTATATATGTTTAATTTAGTCACAAATAAATTGAAAATAAATACCTTTTATTGTGTATCAAAGTGATACGTTATCTCTTAGGCAATGCGATGAGATTGAATGTAATCATCTCTCTAAAATGTTCAGAGACAATGTGAAGTACAAAATATAAAGACAAGAAGGTTGGAATGGTAAACTAAAAAGGAAGGAGAACATAAGAGGGAGAAAATAAAGTAGAAGGAAGAGAAAATGGGGAGAGGAGAAATGAATAGAAAAAGAATGCATAAGAAGGAGAAAGAGATTGAATGATCTGTAAGTAAATTTCAAGTAAAGATTCAGTATCATTGTTTATTAAGACCTTTCTGTCTTCTAATGTGAATCATTTCACACACCAATCTTTTATTATGCGAAGATTCGCAGTCTAAAATTTTTACCTCGTTCCATCTAAAATTGTGATCAAAATTAATACGATGATCAGTTACGACGTGGGAGAACCAGTATTCTTCTTATGTCTAGTATTATTCTAGTATTAATAATAGTATTAATAATAGTATTATTCTAATGTCAGAAATATGTACATAACATTGTATTTATCTCAACTACTTATACCAATCAATTCACCATAACCTTCAACATGAATTGATGTAAAACAATAATTTGCATCACATGTTGCCATATAACAATTATATTTAGCTGCGTCACAATTTTGAGATAAAGAAATGAGGCGAAAGACGAAAAAAGCAAGGATACGTGCGTATGTACACATGTACGTGTATACATACATACGTACATATGTATACATACATACATTATACGCGGTACATAGAATATACATTTTTTATAAGAAATTTCGTTTTAATAAAAAAGATGGAAAAATAATCAACTGATTAGGATCCAGTGCGCTGTTGCCGCTTATAATAAACAATTCCCTTTTTACTACGCCGCGCGCTTAGCGATTGGCAGTGCTGGGCAGATAAATCCTGCACGGTTACGATGTGCTAGACCGCTAGGCGCATTCAGCGATGTTTAATAATTAATATCTCAATAACTATTACAAAAATTGTTTATGAGCGATGATAAATCTAATGTCAGATACTCTACCTATTTCACTTCCGTCGCGCGACAAGCATTGTTGAAAATATGCCTTCGGAAAAATGATAAACTAGGTGTAATAGGAAATGATTATTTTATTTTTTCTTGCGTAACTATGAATGTAGATTCTTGCAAATGTATGAGGTAAATTTTCAAACTTTCAATATAAAATTTCGGTCGGATAGTAATGATATCTGGTTATACGGGTAATATAAAAGGGCCGAATACAGAATACCTGCCGTATATTCGTTGTAACGATTCCATCAATTTTTACATATTCTGAAACGTGCATTAAAGATATTTAAAGAATTATTAATGATAGATGAAAAAACTTCCAATGAATAAAAATGACACAACAAATCCGTGTAAATCCTTGTAAAAGGCGACAGCCATATACTTATAACTACATTTAAATAATTTAATGTAATTATTACATATTATAACTTGATAATTTATGTATTATATTTAAAAATAAAATTGTTATTAAATCAATACACGATTGCAATTGCAATGAATATATTGTAGATGATATATTCGTTGTAAATTCATCATATTCGCACGAAGGCGAATGCTTTTGCCTTACAGTTTATGGAAAATCGTAATTTATACATTTATTTTTTCTTTATTGTCTTCATTAATCTTTTTTTGTTATTTTTGGCATTATTCCTATAAGAAATGTATTAAATATTTAACAAAATATATTATTTCTGCATAACTATATTTATATCTTTATCGGGCACGTTTTAATTGAAATAATCATATGAATGTCACTTACGTAATATAACTTCTTTCCAGTCCGACAGTTAATATATATATATATATA